ACAGTGGCTGGTGTGTAGATGTCACAGTGATTCTGCAACATTGTTCTACACTCCTTGAATCCATTTTTATAACCTGTAAACCTTTCTACTCGCCTCGCGAGTTCGCGTCGCTCATTTTGGTCGGAGTTTATTTGCCGCCGTGTCCTCAGGTTAAAGAGGCCCAACGCATGCTCGCCGATCAGATTCTGAGTGTGGAGCGAGCAAATCCAGATTCGTTGGTTATCGTACTTGGCGACTTTAACAAAGGTAATCTCAGCCACGAACTCCCCCAAATACATACAATTCATTAAATGCCCAACCAGAGAAGGGAACACTGGATCACTGCTACACTACAGTCAGTAGAGCCTACCACGCCGTCCCCCGAACAGCACTAAGACATATTCTTAGTTCTTTCGGTAAAGTCACGTTGAAGGGAAACAATAAAATAATAAAATATATATAAAATAAAAATTCTCACGACGTTTCGACCATAACACAAACGGTCGTCATCAGGTCTGTCGGTTTGCATACATTTATTTTTAAACGGTGTATTTATTTATTTATAGAAAAACGTTAGCGCCACGCGCAGTGATTTGGCAATTTATTTAGAAGGACTAGTCCATCTCCGTTCTGAAAAGAGGAGGGGGGAGACGAAAAATGTAATGTATGCTGTATGAAAAGCCACCGTAAGCGTGAACAATCAATTAAGACCCGAAATGGTTTATCAAATCTTTCCAATGATTGCTAAGCCAGAATCCATCTTCTCGGTTGAAATTGTCTCTGTGCTTGTATATGTGGATAGCCTCATGAACGAATCTCTCATGGTAGCCAGATGGCTTACAAAGAACCTCTGTGTTGGAAAAGTCAATGTCATGTGAGCCTACTGAATTATAACAATGATGTGCCATGGCCGAGGTGTTGGTCCTACCGTGTTTAAGGTCTGCTTTGTGTTCACGAATGCGGTCCAAGACATGGCGTTTGGTTTCTCCAATGTAACTACTACCACAGAGGCAACTTAGTTTGTAGACACCAGGGTATTGTATGTCCGGAATCACATCTTTTACAGACGGAACCAGATCACGCATTTTATGTAATGTGTTGAAACGGACCTGGATCTTGTGTTTATTCAAGATTTTGGAGATCTTTTATGTGATCCCTGCAATGTAGGGTAAAGTGATGGTTTTGAAAGGCTCCTCAAGAGGGTCCTTCTTCATGGTTTGAGTGATAGCTTTGCGGATTGTATAGTCGGAGTAACCATTAGCCTTAAGAGCTTGGTGTACGTGCTTGAGTTCACTGCCTATGTGTTCCTGGTCGGATATGCATTGGGCTCTATGATACAGAGTCTTGATGAGAGAATTCTTCTGTGAGAGAATTCTTCTTCTTTTGTAAGCCATCTGGCTACCATGAGAGATTCGTTCATGAGGCTATCCACATATACAAGCACAGAGACATTTTCAACCGAGAAGATGGATTCTGGCTTAGCAATCATTGGAAAGATTTGATAAACCATTTCAGGTCTTAATTGATTGTTCACGCTTACAGTGGCTTTCAGACAGCATACATTACATTTTTCGTCTCCCCCCTCCTCTTTTCAGAACATAGATGGACTAGTCCTTCTAAATAAAGTGCCAAATCACTGCGCGTGGCGCTAACGTTTTTTTAATATAAATTAATAAATACACCGTTTAAAAATAAATTTATGCAAACCGACACACCTGATGACGACCGTTTGTGTTATGGTCGAAACGTCGTGAGAATTTTTATTGTTATATATATTTTATTATTTTATTGTTTCCCTTCAACGTGGTGACTTTACCGAAAGAACCAGGAATACGAATCCCTGCAGTCACGAAAGCTTTAAATCAAAAGCACTAGGACACTGACCATGCCATGGTCCACCTGATTCCTGCATACAGGCAGAAACTAAAACTCTGTAAACCTGCTGTGAGGACATCTAAACAGTGGACCAGTGAGGCTGTGGAAGATTTGCGGGCATGCTTGGACTGTACTGACTGGGATATGTTCACGACTGCTACCAATAGTCTGGATGAACTCACAGAGGCTGTGACGTCCTACATCAGCTTCTGTGAGGACTGTTGTATCCCAACACGTACCAGGGTGAACTTTAACAACAAGCCCTGGTTCTCAGCAAAGCTCAGAAGGTTGAGGTTGGAGAAGGAGGAAGTGTTTAGGAGTGGGGATAGACAGCTTCAAGGAGTCGAAGAACAGGTTTAGCAAAGCGGTGAGAGAGGCTAAACGACTGTACTCAGAGAGACTAAAACACCAGTTCTCCACTAGCGACTCTGCTTCTGTCTGGAGAGGGCTCAGGCAGATCACCAGCTACAAGCCCAGAGCTCCCCACACCACTAACGAATCCCGCCTGGCCAACGACCTGAACGAGTTCTACTGCAGATTTGAAAGACAATTGGACTGTCCTGAACTACCCCTTCCCACCCAAGAGGCCCCATCCCGCACCCATACTACAGAGACGACTCTCTCCGTTAAGGAGGGAGAAGTTAATAGACTTTTCAAGAGGCAGAATCCACGCAAAGCAGCCGGGCCGGACTCCGTCTCTCCAGCCACCCTCAGGCACTGCGCTGACCAGCTGTCTCTGGTGTTCACCAACATCTTTAACACCTCCCTGGAGACATTCCATGTACCAGCCTGTCTCAAGTCCTCCACCATCATCCCTGTGCCCAAAAAGCGAAGGCCAACAGCACTAAATGATTACAGACCGGTCGCCCTTACATCTGTGGTAATTAAGTCTTTTGAGCGCCTGGTCCTGGCACACCTCAAAGCCATCACAGACCCTCTCCTGGACCCCCTTCAGTTTGCCTACAGAGCCAACAGGTCTGTGGACGACGCAGTTAACATGGCCCTCCACTTCACCCTACAGCATCTGGACGCCCCAGCATCCTACGCTAGGATCCTGTTTGTGGACTTCAGCTCTGCCTTCAACACCATCATCCCTGCCCTGCTTCAGGACACGTTCTTCCAGCTGAACGTGCCCTACTCCACCTGCAGGTGGATCACAGACTTCCTGTCTGACAGGAAGCAGTGCGTTAAGCTGGGAACACAAGTCTCTGACTCCAGGTCCATCAGCACCAGAACTCCTCAGGGCTGCGTCCTTTCCCCACTGCTCTTCTCCCTGTACACCAACAGCTGCACCTCCAATCATCTGTCCGTCAAACTCTTGCCCGAAGTTTGCGGACGACACCACCCTCATTGGGCTGATCTCTGGTGGGGATGAGTCTGACTATAGGTGGGAAGCTGACAACCTGGTGACCTGGTGTAGCCAGAACAACTTAGAGCTAAATGCTCTAAAGACAGTTGAGATGGTTGTGGACTTCAGGAAGAATACAGCCCCACTCACCCCCATCACCCTGTTAAGACTCCCCAGTCAAAATTGTAGAGTCCTTCCGCTTCCTGGGCACTATTCTCTCCCAGGACCTCAAGTGGGAACTGAACATCAGCTCCCTCACCAAGAGAGCTCAACGGAGGATGTGCTTCCTACGGCAGCTGAAGAAATTCAACCTGCCAAAGACAATGATGGTGCAATTCTATACAGCGATCATTGAATCCATCCTCACCTCCTCCATAACCGTCTGGTACGCTGCTGCCACTGCCAAGGACAAGAGCAGACTGCCGCGTATCATCCACACTGCTGAGAAGGTAATTGCCTGCAATCTACCAACCCTCGAGGACCTGCACACGACAAGGTCCATGAGGCGAGCGAGGAAGATTTGTGGCCGATTCCTCCCACCCTGGACACTCTCTGTTTCAGCTACTCCCCTCCGGCAGAAGGCTTCGGTCCATCAGGACCAAAACCTCGCCATAAAAACAGTTTTTCTTCCCATCTGCTGCTGGCCTGTTGAACAAGGCCAAGGGCTTACACTGATTTTAACATTTTATCTACATAATGACACCTTGCCGATATTAACAATGTTAACCTATTTGTATTTTTCATTTTTAAATTATATCTTAAAGCTATTTTATATTCGATATTTATTCAATTTTATATACTTCAGCCCCTTGGTGTTAGTTAGACTTTTAAACCTTATTATAGTAAGACTTGTTTAAAACTTATTTAAGATTTTACATTCCTATATGTTGAATGTTTGCACCATCCTACCAAAGTAAATTCCGTGTCGGTGTGAACTTTCATGGCGAATAAAACCCTTTCTGATTCTGATGATGATGAACCGTCACTTGATCGTGCCACCGCTTGTGATGGCCACGTCGCTTCTGAGCGAGAGCTACTCCGACATAGACCAGGTGGGGGACCTTCCGCGCGGTAAAACAAAAAGTAAAATTTTTGAGCTTCGACTTCCACCGACAAACCCCCCTTGCTACGAAAACTGCCATTGTGATCGAGACCCAGGAACGGTTCGCGGCTCAAGCCACACAACTCTTTAATCACGGGGGGGCGGGTAACCTGCCAGTCTCCCCCGCACGGCAACACGCTCCATCGGGCCTTTGCCCGGGATAAACGCAACGTGGCACAACCTCCGAAGCCTCTTCGGTTCTTTCGGTAAAGTCACGTAGAATGAGAATAAGCGCTGTCCTACCAGACAGTCTCGTCCCTTCACCTGATGAAGGCCGCTTGTGTTGTGGCCGAAACGACGTGAGAATATTGTGTTATTTTATTTATACATTTATTATTTTATTCTCATTCTACGTGGTGACTTTACCGAAAGAACCAAAGAAGATGAATCATTGCAGTCACGAAAGCTTTAAATCGAAATTTAACCTCCGAAGCCGCCCGCTGCTTTCCCGCGCCGTTCGGCAAGACCCAGGGGGGGGGGGCCCCCCTCGCTTCGTGCAAGCGCCGAGCCGACCGGACCGGCGCGGTGCGGTCTGCCCAACGAGGTCCCCCGCAGCCTCTCCGACTCCTCGTTCAATCTGGGGCCCACAAAATCGCCTCCGAGTCAACTTGCCGTGCGGTTATGTGTCTCCCCCTCCCCCACCCCGGTTTGCAAACACCTCGGCGCCACCGCCGGTGCCGCCGCCGCCGCCGCCGCTCAGCGCCGCTCCGCGTGGCCGAGCGCTCCCCGGCACCGCCTCTCGAGCGCGGCCACCGCGCCGGCGCCGAACCCGGCGGCCGCCCCCCTCGCCTCGGCCGCCGCCCCGGCCAGCGCCGCCCCCAGCGCCCGGCGCGCGCCGACGCCCAGGCAGAACGGCAGCAGCGCCGAGCCGTCGCCGCCCAGCCGCAGGAGCTCGCGGCGCAGCCGCAGCCACGCGGCGAGGACGCACAGCGCCCCGCACAGCGCCCCGCAGGCGCACAGCCACGCCGCCGCGCAGACGCCGCACCGGCACCGCGCGCCGTGCCCCCCGGCCGCCGCCGCCGACGCCGCCAGCGCCAGCGCGGCGGCGGCGGCGGCGGCGGCCGCCGCGGCCGCCCGGCCCCTGGCCAGCGTGGCCCCGGCGCCGTACGGCCCCTCCTCCTCCTCCACGACGACCCGCGGCCGCGCGTCCGGCTCCACCGGCGCCCGCGCCAGCAGCAGCTCGACGGCCGCCGCCCACGCCCGGAAGCGCCGCGTCTCCGCGGGGGGCCGCCGCCCGGGCGCCAGCGCCAGCACCCGGGGCGGCGCGGCGGCGCACAGCGCCTCCAGGCGGCGGCGGCGCCCGCCGGCGTCGCGCAGGAACGAGAGGCGCGCCGAGGCGCCGGCGTCGCGGTCGGCGTGCGCCGCCCCGAAGTCCCGGCGCTCCGCCAGGGCGAGGTCGCGGCGCGCCAGCAGCTCGCGCGCCGGCCCCGCCGCGCCGGCCATGGCGGCGTGGACCGAGGCCCGCAGGGCGGCGTGGGCGGCCGTGGCGCGCAGGCAGGCGGAGCGCAGCGAGGAGGAGAGGCGCTGCAGCCGGCGCTGCACCTCGCGCTCCTGCTGGGACAGCAGCGCCGCCGCCTCCGTGCGGCGGCGCTCCTGACGACGGGCGCGGGGAGGGGGCGGGGACGGGGGGGCGAGATGCAGAGGTTGCGGCGGTGGCGTTCGTGCGGCGCACGTGGTGTGGTGTATGTGGTGTGGTGTGGTACGTGGTGTAGTACGTGGTGTGGTGTACGTGGTGTGGTGTATGTGGTGTGGTGTACGTGGTGTGGTGTGGTACGTGGTGTGGTGTGGTACGTGGTGTGGTGTACGTGGTGTGGTGTACGTGGTGTGGTGTACGTGGTGTGGTGTACGTGGTGTGGTGTACGTGGTGTGGTGTACGTGGTGTGGTACGTGGTGTGGTACGTGGTGTGGTACGTGGTGTGGTACGTGGTGTGGTACGTGGTGTGGTGTACGTGGTGTGGTCAACTAAACTGCGTATAAAATATCTACTTAATAAGCTTGTGCCGGAGGCCCCGGGGGGACTGGCGTCTATGACGTCTCCTGGACAAACCCCATTTGGCGGAGACAGGAGACTGAATCTTTGCTCCAACGCGGTTTCAGGAAAGGGCGGTCCTGCACAGATGCCATATTTTATGTCCGTCTGCTACAGCAGAGGTGTAGGGAATTCCCGCAAGACGTACATCTCTGCTTTATTGACCTGGTCAAGGCCTATGATACCATCAGTAGGCCTGGGCTCTGGGTCGTTCTTCGTGCTTTTGGAGCCCCTGACCCTCTGCTCACGATCATTAAGGACCTTCATGATGGTGAGCGGGCCCGGGTAAAACTACGTGGCCGGGAGTCGGAGCCATTCCCTGTACAGCTTGGGGTGCGACAGGGATGTCCTCTGGCTCCCACATTACGTAACATATTTTTCGACCACGTAGTTTGTGAAGCATTTGATGGCTGTACCGGAGGAATTTCTATCTGGTACAGATACAATGGGAGGCTGATCGATGCCCGGGTGCGGTCAAGGGATGGCTCCCTATTGGTCAACCACGTCATGTATGCTGATGATCTGGTAATTGCTGCTCACTCGGAGGAGGAGTTGGAGACGCTGCTGCTGAACCTAGAGCTTGCCACCAACAGGTGGGGTCTTACCATCGGCCCCACCAAAACTAAGCACCTGCCTGGGTATTTTGTACCATCGGACACTCCACCCCCACAACTCCAAATTGGTAATGGGACAGTTGTGGAGAGAGTGGAGGATTTCCCATACCTGGGCAGTGTGCTTATGACCGGCTCCAGTTTAACAGCAGAGGTCTCACTCCGAATCAGTCGAGCGGCATTATAAGCTACCTGGTCTGTTGCTCCGCACGAAGCTTCAGGTCTTCTCGGCCATGGTCATTCCCTCCCTTCTCTACGCTTGCAAAACGTGGACCTCCCTAATGGAACATCTTCGCCGGTTAGAAACATTTAGGCTGGCCTGCCTACGAATCCATCCTGGGTTTAACCAGGCTGGATTGCCTAAACAGCTTTTGTTCGGCCGGATCGAGGGGGCTAAACGGGCACGGCACGGGCATGAGAAGAGATGGAGTGATGTGGTACAGGAGGACGTGGAACTGAGTGGACTTGCCGATGACTGGTACCAGCGGTGTCAAGATCGGCCTCTGTGGAGGAGGCTCGTGGAGGACACTGCTACTGGGCTGTTGGAAGCAGTCGCCCTCCAACAACAACGGAGGGGGGAGGAGCGACGCTCACAACAGCGAGCGGAGCGCCGGGTGGCTAAAGCACAGCAGGTTGGCACAGTAGGGGGCACAGGTGGTGCATCAGCCAGTCATCTCAGTCAGTCGACCCGTGGCACCTGGATCTGCCCCGTGACCTCCTGCCAGCGGGCGTTCGACACTTCACGTGGCCTCAAGGTGCACATGGCCTGGCACAAGCGTGGTGGTGATGTCACCGCCACTTAGTCACGAATGGCGGTGGTTGTTGTTGTGTTGTGGTGTGTGCGAGTGTTGTGTGCGGTGTGTGTGCGGTGTGTGCTGTGTGCGGCGTGTGGTGTGCGGTGTGTGTGTGCGGTGTGTGTGCGGTGTGTGGTGTGTGTGGTGTGTGTGTGTGGTGTGTGTGTGATGTGTGTGGTGTGTGTGGTGTGTGTGTGGTGTGTGTGGTGTGTGTGTGGTGTGTGTGGTGTGTGTGGTGTGTGTGGTGTATGTGTATGTGTGTGTATGGTGTGTGTGGTGTGTGTGTGGTGTGTGTGTGTGGTGTATGTGTATGTGTATGTGTGTGTATGGTGTGTGTGGTGTGTGTGTGGTGTGTGTGTGTGGTGTATGTGTATGTGTATGTGTGTGCGTGCGGTGCGTGCGGTGCGTGCGGTGTGTGTGGTGTGTGTGGTGTGTATGTATGGTGTGTATGGTGTGTGTGTGGTGTATGTGTATGTGTATGTGTGTATGTGTGTGGTGTATGTGTGTGGTGTGTGTATGTGTGTGGTGTATGTGTATGTATGGTGTGTATGTGTGTGGTGTATGTGTATGTGTGTGTGTATGTGTGTGGTGTGTGTGTGTGGTGTGTGGTGTGTGTGTGGTGTGTGTGTGGTGTATGTGTGGTGTATGTGTATGTGTATGTATGGTGTGTGTGGTGTGTGTGGTGTATGTGTATGTGTGTGGTGTATGTGTATGTATGGTGTGTATGTATGGTGTGTATGGTGTGTGTGTGGTGTGTGTGTGGTGTATGTGTATGTATGTGTGTGTATGTGTATGTGTGTATGTGTGTATGTATGCGTGCGGTGTGCGGTGCGTCGCACCTGCAGGCTGATCCGCCGGCGCACGTCGGCCCACTTGTCGCCGGCGTCGAGGCGCTCGGCCAGCGCGTCCAGCTGGGCCCACTCGCGCACGGCGGCACGCTCGGGGCTGTCGAAGGCGTGGCCGGCGTGCGGGCCGCCCGGGGCGATGCAGCGCACGCACACCAGGAGACGCTCGCACGAGCAGAACATGCTGGCGGGCTACGGGGGGAGGGGGGGGGGGGGAGGAGGGGGGAGGGAGGGGGAGGGGGGAGGGGGAGAGGGGAGGGGAGAGGGGAGGGAGGCAGCAGAGGAGGGGGAGGAGGAGAGGGGGGATGTGGGGGAGGAACAGGGAGAGGGGAGGAGGGGAGAGGGGGAGAAGGGATGGGGAAGAGGAGGAGAGGAGAGGCAGAGGAGGAGAGGAACAGGAAGAGGAGCGGAGGGGGAGAGGAGGAGAGGGAGGAGGGGGAGGAGGAGGGGGAGGAGTGGGGGGGGGGTAGAGGAACAGGGAGAGGGGAGGAGGGGAGAGGGGGAGGAGAGGAGGGGGAGGAGAGGAGGGGGATAGGGGGAGGGGAGAGGAGCAGGGAGAGGGTTGAGGAGAGCACGACAGAGCTTGTGTGGTTCATCGCGCCGTGAGCGAGCGCCGATAAAACACAAACTCAAACCCCCCCCCCCCGCCCCCCGCCCCCCGCCCCCCCCGACACGGAGAGACGTCGCGACGACGGTCGGCACGCCGCCGCCCCCCCCTCCCTCCCTCCCTCCCCCCCTCCCTCCCCCCCTCCCTCCCTCCCTCCCTCCCGCTCCCCCACGCGGACCGCCTCGACGCGAGAATCACAGCCGTCGCCTGTCCGTCCGCGAGTCCACATCGGCAGCCGTGCGGGCGAGGAGGCCCCTCCCCCGCCCCTCCCCCGCCCCTCCCCCGCCCCCCCCCCCCGCCCCCCCCCCGCCCCTCCCCCGCCACGGCTCACCCACGAAAGGGGGGGGGGGGTGGTGGGCTGTGACCGCGCCCGGCCGCCTTTGTCTCTCCCTCGTGGCGACGTTTGCTTGCGCAGCGCCGGTCAGAGGCGTTCGTCGCCGGCGCTTGGCCGCGAGCCAGAACCCCAACGCGAGGATCGGCGCCCGGGACGCTCCCCGGCACCGCCGCCGCCGCCGCCGCCGGCGCCACCGGCGCCGGCGGCGGTGGCGCCGGCGCCGCCGCCGCCGGCGCCACCGGCGCCGCCCTCCGAGCGAGGCGACCCAACGGCAGCGGCGCTCGTGCCAGGCTAAGTGCACGTGAGGTGTGTGGAGGGCTCTCCCCCGCTGCCGGGAGGGTGGTCCGCGGGACGGTCGGGGTTGGCCGACCGAGACGACCGCCTCCAACTGTGGCGGCAGCGTCCTTCACGAGCCTCATCCTCCTCCTCCTCATCCTCCTCCTCATCCTCCTCTTCATCCTCCTCCTCATCCTCCTCCTCATCCTCCTCCTCCTCCTCATCCTCCTCCTCATCCTCCTCCTCATCCTCCTCATCCTCCTCCTCATCCTCCTCCTCATCCTCCTCCTCATCCTCCTCCTCATCCTCCTCCTCATCCTCCTCCTCATCCTCCTCTTCATCCTCCTCCTCATCCTCCTCCTCATCCTCCTCCTCCTCCTCCTCATCCTCCTCCTCATCCTCCTCCTCATCCTCCTCATCCTCCTCCTCATCCTCCTCCTCATCCTCCTCCTCATCCTCCTCCTCATCCTCCTCCTCATCCTCCTCTTCATCCTCCTCCTCATCCTCCTCCTCATCCTCCTCCTCCTCCTCATCCTCCTCCTCATCCTCCTCCTCATCCTCCTCCTCATCCTCCTCCTCATCCTCCTCCTCATCCTCCTCCTCATCCTCATCCTCCTCCTCATCCTCATCCTCATCCTCCTCATCCTCCTCATCCTCCTCATCCTCCTCCTCATCCTCCTCCTCATCCTCCTCCTCATCCTCCTCATCATCCTCCTCATCCTCCTCATCCTCCTCCTCATCCACAAGAGGCCGACCTTGAAACCGCTGGCACCGGTCATCGGCATGTTCACTTGGCTCCCACATCCTTCCGGACAACACCGGCCCCGTCTCGTCTCTAGCCCGTGCCTGTTTAGCCTCCTCCGTTTAACTACACACCGCAACCAGGTACTCATTTGAGGCCGAGTCGACCTAGGGGGAGGCCCAGGGGTAGCCAGCACCACAAAAGACAAAGGTCCCCTGTGTAGCCTTCACAGACAATCTTCATTTGAAGCTGGGATCCACGCTCTTCTTGGTTATTTCGGTCCAAGTCAGTCAAGGTTGGTAGAATAATAAAACGAATCGCGACGTTTCGTGGCGCAACACAAGGGTCCGTCATCAGGTGTGAAAGCGTGCTCGCTAGGCCCCGCCACTTCTTCATGACCCCTGGGCTACACCCATTGCAAACCTTTTAAAAACAACAACAACAGCAACAGTCAGCCACCTGATGACGGACGCTTGCGTTGCGCCCGAAACGTCGCGATATATTTTATTTCATACCTACCACGTAACTTTACCTTTACACACTGTTGGGGAAATTGCCGTTAGCGAGCACACACACACGTACACACACACACACGCGCGTACACACACACACACACGCGCGTACACACACAACAACAACAACGACAACCGCCATTCGTCACTAAGTGCCGGTGACGTCACCGCGACGCTTGTGCCAGGCCATGTGCACCTTGAGGCTACCACGTGAAGTGTCGAACGCCCGCTGGCAGGAGGTCACGGGGCAGACCCAGCAGGTGCCACGGGTCGACTGACTGAGATGACTGAGATGACTGGCTGGTGCACCACCTGTGCCCCCTACTGTGCCAACCTGCTGTGCTTTAGCCACCCGTACAAACACACTCGTACACACACACACGCGTACAAACACACTCGTACACACACACACGCGTACACACGCGCACACACGCGTACACACACGCGTACACACACGCACACAGACGCACACACACACACGCGTACACGCACGCGCGCGTACACACACGCACACACGTACACACACACATGCGTACACACACACACACACGCGTACACACACACACGCACACACACACACACACGTACACACACGCGCTCCCCCCTCCCCCCCCCCGCCCACACCTGCGACGGGTGCTCGTGGCACGGGTGCTCGTGCGTCCCCGCCCGGCGGCCCCTGCGGAAGGTCTCCAGCACGGCGGCCAGCGCGTAGTTGGCCGGCACCAGGCGCGCCTCCTCCGCCTCCACGGGCCGCTGGCACGCCGGGCAGCGAGGGGGCGCGGCGCCGGGGCGCTTGGCCCGCACGGCGCCGCCGCCCAAGCCGGCCTGCTCAAAGATGGCCTCCAGGCACGGGCGGCAGAACGTGTGGGCGCACGGCAGGCTGCGAGGGTCCTCGAACAGCGAGAAGCACACGGGGCACAGCAGGTCCTCCTCCAGGTGCTCCATGGGGGCGGCGGTGGCGGGGCGGGGGAGTGGGGGTGTGAGTGGGGTTGGTGGTGTTGGTGGTGAGTGGGGTTGGTGGTGAGTGGGGTTGGTGGTGAGTGGGTGGGTGGGGTTGGTGGTGAGTGGCGTTGGTGGTGAGTGGGGTTGGTGAGTGGGTGGGGTTGGTGGTGAGTGGGCGAGTGGTGAGTGGGGTTGGTGGTGAGTGGGTGGGTGGTGTTGGTGGCGAGTGGTGTTGGTGTTGGTGGTGAGTGGGGTTGGTGGTGAGTGGGGTTGGTGGTGAGTGGGTGAGTGGTGAGTGGGGTTGGTGGTGAGTGGGGTTGGTGAGTGGGTGGGGTTGGTGGTGAGTGGGGTTGGTGGTGAGTGGGTGGTGTTGGTGGTGAGTGGGTGGGGTTGGTGGTGAGTGAGTGGTGTTGGTGGTGAGCGGGCGGGTGGTGAATGGGGTTGGTGAGTGGGTGGTGTTGGTGGTGAGTGGGTGGGTGGTGTTGGTGGTGAGTGAGTGAGTGGTGTTGGTGGTGAGTGGGTGAGTGGTGTTGGTGGTGAGTGGGTGGGTGGTGTTGGTGGTGAGTGAGCGAGTGGGGTTGGTGGTGAGTGGGTGGGTGGTGTTGGTGGTGAGTGGGTGGGTGGTGTTGGTGGTGAGTGAGTGGGTGGTGTTGGTGGTGAGTGGGCGAGTGGGGTTGGTGGTGAGTGGGTGAGTGGTGTTGGTGGTGAGTGGGTGAGTGGTGTTGGTGGTGAGTGGGTGGGTGGTGTTGGTGGTGAGTGGCTGAGTGGTGTTGGTGGTGAGTGGGTGAGTGGTGTTGGTGGTGAGTGGGTGGGTGGTGTTGGTGAGTGAGTGAGTGGTGTTGGTGGTGAGTGGGTGAGTGGTGTTGGTGGTGAGTGGGTGGGTGGTGTTGGTGGTGAGTGAGCGAGTGGTGTTGGTGGTGAGTGGGTGGGTGGTGTTGGTGGTGAGTGAGTGAGTGGTGTTGGTGGTGAGTGGGTGAGTGGTGTTGGTGGTGAGTGGGTGGGTGGTGTTGGTGGTGAGTGGGTGGGTGGGTGGGGTTGGTGGTGAGTGGGTGGGTGGTGTTGGTGGTGAGTGAGTGCGGTTGGTGGTCAGTGGGTGGGTGGTGTTGGTGGTGAGTGGGTGAGTGGGGTTGGTGGTGAGTGGGTGGGTGGTGTTGGTGGTGGTGAGTGGGTGGGTGGTGTTGGTGGTGAGTGGGCGAGTGGGGTTGGTGGTGAGTGGGCAGGTGGGGTTGGTGGTGAGTGAGTGAGTGGGGTTGGTGGTGAGTGGGTGGGTGGGGTTGGTGGTGAGTGGGTGAGTGGTGTTGGTGGTGAGTGGGTGGGGTTGGTGGTGAGTGGGTGGGGTTGGTGGTGAGTGGGTGGTGTTGGTGGTGAGTGGGTGAGTGAGGTTGGTGGTCAGTGGGTGAGTGGGGTTGGTGGTGATTGGGTGAGTGGGGTTAGTGGTGAGTGAGTGGGTGGGTGGTGTTGGTGGTGAGTGGGTGGTAGGTGGTGAGTGGGTGGGTGGTGCTGGTGGTGAGTGGGCGAGTGGGGTTGGTGGTGAGTGGGCGGGTGGGGTTGGTGGTGAGTGGGTGGGTGGGGTTGGTGGTGAGTGGGTGGGTGGTGTTGGTGGTGAGTGGGTGGGTGGTGTTGGTGGTGAGTGGGTGGGTGGTGTTGGTGGTGAGTGGGTAAGTGGGGTGGGTGGTGAGTGGGTGGGTGGGGTTGGTGGTGAGTGAGTGGGTGGTGTTGGTGGTGAGTGGGTGAGTGGGGTTGGTGGTGAGTGAGTGGGTGGGTGGTGTTGGTTGTGAGTGGGTGGTAGGTGGTGAGTGGGTGGGTGGTGTTGGTGGTGAGTTGGTGGTAGGTGGTGAGTGGGTGAGTGGTGTTGGTGGTGGATGGGTGAGTGGGGTAGGTGGTGAGTGGGTGGGTGGTGTTGGTGGTGAGTGGGTGGTGTTGGTGGTGAGTGGGTGGTAGGTGGTGAGTGGGTGGTGTTGGGTGGGTGGTGTTGGTGGTGAGTGGGTGCTGTTGGTGGTGAGTGAGTGGGTGGGTGGGGTTGGTGGTGAGTGGGTGGTAGGTGGTGAGTGGGTGAGTTGTGTTGGGGGTGGATGGGTAAGTGGGGTTGGTGGTGAGTGGGTGGTGTTGGTGGTGATTGGTTGAGTGGAGTTGGTGGTGAGTGAGTGGGTGGGTGGTGTTGGTGGTGAGTGGGTGGTAGGTGGTGAGTGGGTGGGTGGTGTTGGTGGTGAGTGGGTGGGTGGTGTTGGTGGTGAGTGGGTGGGTGGTGTTGGTGGTGAGTGGGTGGTAGGTGGTGAGTGGGTGGGTGGTGTTGGTGGTGAGTGGGTGGTAGGTGGTGAGTGGGTGGTGTTGGGTGGGTGGTGTTGGTGGTGAGTGGGTGTTGTTGGTGGTGAGTGAGTGGGTGGGTAGGGTTGGTGGTGAGTGGGTGGTAGGTGGTGAGTGGGTGAGTTGTGTTGGGGGTGGATGGGTAAGTGGGGTTGGTGGTGAGTGGGTGGGTGGTGTTGGTGGTGATTGGTTGAGTGGAGTTGGTGGTGAGTGGGTGGTAGGTGGTGAGTGGGTGGGTGGTGTTGGTGGTGAGTTGGTGGTAGGTGGTGAGTGGTGTTGGTGGTGGATGGGTGAGTGGGGTTGGTGGTGAGTGGGTGGGTGGTGTTGGTGGTGAGTGGGTGGGTGGTGTTGGTGGTGAGTGGGTGGTAGGTGGTGAGTGGGTGGGTGGTGTTGGTGGTGAGTGGGTGGTAGGTGGTGAGTGGGTGGTGTTGGGTGGGTGGTGTTGGTGGTGAGTAGGTGTTGTTGGTGGTGAGTGGGTGGGTGGGGTTGGTGGTGAGTGGGTGGTAGGTGGTGAGTGGGTGAGTTGTGTTGGGGGTGGATGGGTGAGTGGGGTTGGTGGTGAGTGGGTGGGTGGTGTTGGTGGCGAGTGGGTGGTGTTGGATGGGTGAGTGGGGTTGGTGGTGAGTGAGGTTGGTGGTGAGTGGGGTTGGTGGTGAGTGGGGTTGGTGGTGAGTGGGTGGTATTGGGTGGGTGGTGTTGGTGGTGAGTGGGTGCTGTTGGTGGTGAGTGGGTGGGGTTGGTGGTGAGTGGGTGGGTGGTGTTAGATGGGTGAATGGGGTTGGTGGTGAGTGGTGTTGGGTGAGTGCTGTTGGTGGTGAGTGGGTGGGGTTGGTGGTGGTGAGTGAGTGAGTGGCTGAGCGGCTGAGCGTGGATGTGTTAGGGGCCTGTGTGCAAGTACGTGTCTACGTTGGAACTCCCTTCGCTTGCCGTACGTAGCCAAACGTGCTAGAATCGGACGGTGCGGTGTAATGGTTAAGTGGACAATCTGGTGGGCGAGTGGATGAGTAATGCTACGTGGATGAGTAGGTTAGTCCGTGGGTGGGTGGTTCAGCGGGTGAACGAGCGACCAGGTGACGGCTGGGTTATCGCTTGAGCCAGATGAGTGAACGGCCGGATCGGTCGCTGCACAATGGAGCGCCAGTTCAGCCACCTGAGTGAAAGAGATGGAGGGGGGTGGGGGGAAATAATTAAACACCGTTTGGCCGAAGGCACGCGAGAATCAGACGACGCTGCACACGCACGTACGTTCAACTTCTTTCGCACCGTACGTGGCCCAGGGCGCTCATCCGAGGGGCGCGAGGGGAAAGACAACAAACTGAACACAACAGGGGCAGTCCTGAAAAGAAATTAGCTCTGCAATCTTGATGATGATTTCACAGTGGCATCACAGCTCCCCGGCGGGCTCCTGACACCGGAAGGAGGAACGTTCCAGACGGCCGCAGAAGCGCGTCTGAAAGCGCCGCACGGCGAAGCAGTTCTCAAGAAATTAGTTTCGCCAATCTTGACGACGATTTAAAATTTCATCGCAGCTCCCCCAGTGGCTTCCTAACATCGGAAAGAAGAGCGTTCCAGACGGCCGCAGAAGCGCGTCCGAAAGCGCCGCACGGCGATGATGACGACGATGGCGGCGGCGGTGCGGTGACCGTCATCTTTGTTCGATGGCCAGCCAGAAGCCGCCGCCGTCGCCGCCGCCGCGAGGAGGAGGACCGAGCTCACGCGACGGTGATTTGTGCTCCACGACGCGACATCGGCAAGGTACCGCCGCGGCGGTTCATTTGTGGCGAGCGCCGTGTGTGTGTGCCGTGTGCCGTGTGCCGTGTGACGAGGCCGCGAGGCCGCGCGCGACCGCACGCCGTCGCTGCATTCGTTCGGCGACCGGAAGCCGACGCCGCTCGGCAAAACACCGGACGGACGGACGGACGGGGTCGGATCTTGCAACGCCCCGAACGGCACGTGCCAGATAATTTGTGCACGGGCTGCACGAGCGTTGCCTCACCTTGTAAAGGTGGCAATCCGAGGCGGCTTTGCTTTTAAATCGGTTCCAATCTCCTCGCGCGGCCTATGACGACGGTTAACTGCGGCAGGTGAGACATCGCTTGGAATGAGCCATCGTCATTCGCGGTATCAACTATCAAACTATTGTTTATTTTTACCGGCTAAGGCCCGCTGAGCCGTGTGCAGTAAAACCTTGGCCTGCGAGTGTTTTGCAAGACGAGCAAAATGTGTGAATAAATATTAATTTGATCAACGAGCGAGGGCCTTGCAAATACGAGCAGCGTACGTGTAACACGCTTTGTCTCGCCGAGCGTCACGTGATCACAACCGATGTACTACGGGGTGCTTTGATGTGCGAGTGCTTTGGATCACAACGTCACGTTTCCGGGACGAATTATGGTTCGCAATCCCAAGGTTTTCCTGTCGTTCTTTTTCAGAAGCGAGCTGGCCATCACGGATGATAGCTCAACGAAGCGGCTCATCACGTGGAAATTTATAGCGGCAAAAAATACTCTGAACGCGTGACGTCGATTCGAAAATGTGGAAGGGAATAAGTAAGATTAAAAAATACTTTAAAAACACGCTTTAATTAAATGTACTAGTAATGGCAAAACTCCACGACTCCAGGAAGCGGGCCCCGAAGCTTGCCACAACGTAAGGGGGCCGTGGCCAATCACAGCCAACGTCAGTTGAGCGTGGACAATCGGACCCAAACCGAAACGTAACATGTAAAAAAATGTTGAAAAATATTTTTTTATATATATAAAATCTAGTAT